AGAGTGGCTCTACCAGCTAATGACAGGGTTCTAGCTTTCCAAGAGTTCAGCTTTTCAAAATTCTCCAAGATATATCTATAGGTATTCCTAGTGACTCTACCATGGAGAACTCGAACCCCTAGATACTTCCTGAGATCAGAGGTACTATGGATTCCAAGTTTGTTACTAATGCAGGTTCTGCCCACACTCCTAACATTCTTGGAAAAGAAAACTCTCAACTTTTCTTTGCTTATGAGCTCGCTTGAGGCATCACAGAACCATTGGAAATAGTTCATGACCATCTCAGCTTGCTTTGGACTAGCTTCAGCAAAGATGACAAGGTCATCTGCAAAAAAAAAAAGGTAAGATAGCTCGGGGCCATCACGAGAGAGCTTGAGAGATTTCCATCTACCTTCCCTAACTTGTCTAAGGATGCAATGGCCTAAACTTTCAATTGATAAAGTAAATAAGTAGGGTGAGAGTGGACATCCCTGTCTCAATCCACTGTTTGGTGTAAATTTCCCACTCTCTCCTCCATTCCATAAGACCTGGAACTCGATAGTAGTAACACATCTCATCATCATCCTCACTCCTTCCTGTGGAATCTCAACAATATTCAGGGTCACCTCCGAGAAGTTCCAGTCCAATCGATCATACGCTTTTGCTAGATCGATTTTAAACAACATAGCTCCTTTTTCCCTGTTCTCTTTGACATTGAGAGGACTGTCTCTTGCAGAATCAAGATATTACCAGTAATGTGTCTAATGGGAATGAAACCGGATTGATTAGTCTGAACAAGGTGATTCATAGGGGGTTTGTGACGATCTGGGAGGCATTTAGTCACCACTTTGTATGAGACGTTGCAGAGGCTAATTGGCTTGATTTGGCTCATGGAGCAAGGGGCCTCCACTTTCAGGATCAAGGTCAGGAGGGTCTCATTAATAAACTGGATACGGTCTGGATTGATGAAGCATGAGGAAACAAAGTTGGTGAAGTCCAACCCAACCACTTCCCAACATCTCTGGTAAAAGATGGCGTGGAATCCATCTATCCTGGAGCTTTAAGTCCACTCATTCTTGACACAATGTTCTTGACCTCCATCAAGGTTGGTGTTCTCGTGAAACCAAACAGTGCATCAACCTCCAGTTCAGGGAAGTGTGCAGCAACTTTAGGCCGTTCCACCCCACTTGGCTTGGAATAGAGGTTCACATAAAACTCTATAGCCAACATATGAAGTGAGTATGGATCAACAATTCACTGATTGAGGTCATTCTTCAGGCCTTTGATCTTGTTTCTTTTTCTTCTTGAGAGGGTACTTGAGTGGAAGAATCTTGTATTTTGATCTCCCTGTTTGATGTACTTGGCTCTAGACTTTTGAAGTCAAAGAACTTCTTCCTGCCAAAGGGTGTCTTCCAATTCCTCCCTGACATTCTGTTATGCAACCAAAGACTGGTGGGTTGGGTTTCTGTCATTCTTCCACTCCAGGCTATTGAACTTGTTGAGTAGAAGCTTCTTCCTTTTGAAAATATTCCCAAAGATCTCCATATTCCATGTTCTCAGCTTCTCAGTAATGCCCCGCAAGGAAGAGAGAAAATCGTGACTGTTTCCCCATGAATCAAAGAGAAATTCTCATGGGCAAGCCATGAGGCCAAAAACTAGAATCTCCTCGCCACATTATTCTTGTCCATAGGGCCCTTAATGCAAGTAAGGATAGGCTCGTGGTCAGATATCAGGTGATAGTTTGTGGTCTCACGAAACTTTCTTTGCCAAGCCTCATTGCAGAGGCTCCTGTCAAGCCTCTCTTTGAGAGTTAATTTGCTCTTGAACCAAGTGAAGCTGGTACTGAGAATCCCAATTCCAATAGACCACTCTTATTAATGCAATTGTTGAAGGCTCTAGCTCTTGCAGGATTGAAACTCGCTCCTCCTTGCTTTTCTGAAGGTTTCGTAATGGAGTTAAAATCTCCAAAGAGCATCCAAGATAACTTGATCTGCCTGCTCAAACTGTTGATAGCTTCCACAGATGGGTTCTTTCGAATTTATTGGGATTGGCATAAACAACAGTGAAGTAGCAGACCGGGTTCCCTTCCAATGAACACTTGAGATGGATGAACTATCTCTGTGTGTCCATAACTTCAAGCACAAAGTCCTCTTTATTGTAGAGGATTCAGATACCACCGCTGAAGCCAATCGCATCAGAAACTTCCCAGGAGTCGTATCCAAGTGATTCAATGACGTCATTAGCTTCCTTCCCACTAATCCTTAGTTCCACAATGCACACAATACTCGATTTGAAAGTAGAGTTATAAAACTCAAAAGTTGATCTGAACTTTGGGTGTCTTACAACATCCAGCTCTCCCCGTTTCCCTCTTTCTCCTCCTTTTGTATATCTCTAACTCTCTAATCTTGTTTTTTTGTTGCTTCTATGGTTGTAGAGAATTCTCTAAAGAAGTGGTGAATGATGGTGGAGAAAAGAGGAGATGAGATGAGAAAAAAACCAAAATGAAAGTGATAACGGTGGAGAATATCTGCCCCATTTCATTCCTACAACCTACCTTATTGAAATGCTTAATAGCCAGGCAACAACTTGTAGCAACCCACGTCTTAAGTGAGGTCCAACAACTCAAGCATATACTATTATCTATTAGATCTAACCACAAAAGCTAACAAGAGCTAAAACTTATTGAATCACACAATATTAACACAAGGGGCTTTGGAGACTAAAAAAAGAGACAACCTAATGATGCCACAACTCCTCCCACTAGGGGTAAACATGCACACCCTTGGAATCACAAGTAAGGCAACTCACTATCTTTTAACATATTATTTTAATAATTATATTCTTACATAATACAAGAAGTAATTAAATGGACAAATGATTGATATAAATAACCAATACAAGAACGATTGAAAAAAGAAAACCCACTAAGGGGTCGGTTACTGTACACTGACTACTTTTACTATACATATAGACTCATCCGTACTCTTATAACTCGGATGGGTCTCGGGTGTGGGAGGGTGCAGGGTGTTACTCTTTTGTTCCAATGAAATCTTGGTGGCTCATTTGCTTTTGAATTGTGGTTTGCCTTCTAGTTAGTTATTCTCTCCTTCCCCCTTGCACACATTGATCGGTTGGGGACGGAGAGAAAGACACTGCTATTTTGAGTCTGCTTTTTGCTTGTTACTACTATAAACCTACATCATTTTTTAGCCCAAGCCCGCTGCTAACTATCACACCAATGACCTAAATCCATCGCAAAATGCCAAGCCAATGACATAAACCATTGCCCTCCTATATATGGGCTCTTAAACTTTCAAGTTAAATAGCCTCTTCGCTATGCTCCTACAAATTCATTATATATGGTCCTCTCTCTAAAGCCTTATCTCTCTAGAGATCCCTATCTATTTTACATACATCATTCATATAATACACTAGCTTGAACGTCATAGTGTATATAACTGGGCCTACCCTCGTCTTTCTAGATGTTTCTTCCACAGTTAAGGAGATCAAACGACGGAGTCCAAATTAGAACCCTAACTATTATTATTATTGATGAAAGTTAACTGTATTGGTCTAAACACTCTCTAAACGCAAACAATTTGATTGTTATAATGATTACATTTTTTATCTAATTTCTTAGATTTTCTCCTTCTATTTCTCGCTGACTAAACAAACTAGTGTCATTAAACCATGACTCAGTTGGTTCGTTCGGAAAAAAGTAAATTCAAACCCAAATCCAATCTAGGTAGCCTTATAATGGCATAGCTTTTATGGGCTCAGTCATGATTCATTTGAGCGGATAATCGTACAAATCGAAAAAAACTAAATTGTCTATTTATGAGATGTCTTGTGTTTATGAGATATTTTTCAATTGAATAAAATAAGACGTCGTCAGTAGAATTTGAACTCGGGTCCCTTGACTGAAGTATATGACTTTAAAAACTACTCTTCTAGAAATTAATATTATTTTTTAATTGTAGAAAGTAAAATCTTATATTAGTATTAATTTTCAGGATTATAAGAAGCCATCATATTTTCTTACAAATTGTTATCGTCTATTATATCTGTCATATCATGATTTTACCATTATGGTAAGACTAATTGTTCATCATATCATGATTTAATAGTCATATGATGCCATCAAATTATTTTTTCACACATAAGGTGAGTGGACGACGTCCTTCTTTTCTTTTGGTGAAGCCTGCTTGAGGGGAGGAAATCGTGGTTTGTGCTGGCAGGTGGGTGATGATAGCATTTCGCTTTGGCTAGTTAGTAAATACTCCGTTTAATACACGTATATGTACCCGTACGTACTTTATCCGTTTAAAACTTCCGTATCCGTATTATTGTCAAGTTGTTTCATTTTCCCCCGTTCATTTGATGGTTCCCGTATTAAACACATATAAAACCCGTATAACACGTTTATTATCCGTATTTTACAAATTAAATTGTTAATGTTACTATTATTTATAGTATATATTAATTTTTAAAATAATTAATTTTATATATTTATGACTATTAACGTACTATTAAACGTAATTTTAGCTTAGAAACAAAGTATAATACCCGTACGTATTTTTTACGTAACTTTCCCGTACCGTATTTTACTAACTATTTGGCACGATTAACAATTGTTTTATATCAGTTAACCACAAATAAATTTTAAATTCGTGTTTATTCAGATCATCTTCCGGTCTGATTTTGATAAGATTCAAACAACCACAATAGAGCTGGCAAAAACAGAATATTCAATATTCCAACTCTTGACACATCCACTTGGAGAGTTTTCAAATTTCACATAATTCATTAATGAGTTATAATAAGTTTCTATTAAGACAAAGTAAAAGAGAAATGAATGAGCAAACTTACCTAATAAAAAAACCTTCTACTAATAAAAAAAAATACGAGCAAACATACATACAAGTCAAGAAGGGCAAGCAATGGGGAAGGTAAGGGGCAAAGCCACTTTTGCTTTTCCTACAAAACAGAGAAAATGAACGTTTTTCCTAAGTAGTGAGAGATGGAAGCCCAAAGAAATACACTTGCACGAGAGAGAGAGAGAGAGAGAGAGAGAGAGAGAGAGAGAGGAGCATAGAGAGAGAAAGAAAGAAGGGCAATTGAAAAGAATTCACATGGAAGGAAAGCTGCTAACATCTCATCCTCCGCCATTTCACCATTCCCCTTAAAACACAATTATCAATCTTTGTTGTAGAGTTGTCGTTTCTTCCTTCATATGTGGTTTCTTCTTTTCTCTCTCTACATTGACGCGTGACAGCCTCACGCGTCGGGAACTAGAAACACGAAAACTGAAAGAAACTGAAAATACTGGGGTTTATTCTTCTTCGATAAATAAAACGTAAGGATTAAGTACATATTTATAGGACGCATCCCATAAACCCTCTCCCCCTCAAACATGGTAACCTAAACCGAGTCCAACTCCTAAACGATTTACTTCCTAAACAGAATAATAATAATCCAAAATAACCCTAAACAAAACGAATGAATATCCAAAATAGACACAATAATAATTATGCTAAGATAATAGACCAGCCAATGATGCGTGAATGCATCAATCCTCCCCCCTTCGAAGAACTTCGTCCCCGAAGTTCAAGCGACATCTCATCCCGGTTCAAAGGGGAAGTAGCATCCTCGCATCTTGCGGTAAATGACGACAAGAGTTGGACCATGATCTTCGCGCTTTCGGTACTTCCATTTACGTCTTGTTACCATACGTATCCAGTAACCAACCATAGCGCCCTCAACTCCTGCTCCGTAGAAAGGAAATTCGAGTCCACCGTTTTCATGCTCTTTCCATATGCTTCTAACCTTGTGTAACCATCTCGAGACCCACTCACCTGGCAACCCTTCCCTAGCAGCGGACAACAGTCCCTCAATAAAAGGGTCTTGATAATCACCATCCTTTTCACTAAGCTGCCAATTTGGGCCAGGCACCCATAACCACCCCAAGCTTCCTCCATCCATCATATCAATATTAGTTCTTACCTTCACAGGTACGTAACCAATATTGGAAGGGAAAATTTCATTGTAGGCTATATGAGTTACCGTAGAGCAAACGTGTGACAGTGGTGATGAGATTGTTGTATGGATGGGCGGCCGGCCGATTGATTCCACAAAGGTAGTAGCCGGTGTGGCAAAAATATTCACCACGATACCCTCCTCATTAGCAGCTGTCACTTCGACTTGCCGCCGCAGCGGCTCCGCGGCGGGCGCCACAACAACGATCATTACTCGAGGTGCAAAAACGGATGAAACGTCAATATCTCGAGCATTAGCAGCTGCGGCGGATCCATGCCCGAGTGCGGTGATGGAGGAAATCTTATGTTTCGTGGGGAGAGCGCCGTCAATATTCTCTCCCGTCAAATTTAAGGCTCTCTCCACCTTCATCTTTACACCATATTTAGATAAATCGAATATGACTTCAGTTTCGAGATAGGTCCTTGCCTTTGGAGACCCCTTTGGTGCGTTATCAATGGTGCCAAAATCTGGGACTTTTGGAACTTTTTTGGTGACGATGGGGTCATAAGGAATAATGTCCCCGAGTGGCGGCACCGGAGTAACCTTGCCAATGTTGAAGGCTTGGCCAAGGAGTCCCAGCCGCGGTGGTGGCAAGGCGACGAGTGTATCAGCAGTCGACATGGCTGACAGCAGTGGCGGCGACGTGTTCGACGGTGGCAGTGGCGTGGTAGCTGACGCTGTTGGTACGTTGCCGACGATCAGCGACGGATCCAGAACACAGCGTAGCACTGGGCCGCATTTCATTAGAAAATTATATATCATAAAAAAATTACAGTTTTTTTACAATATCAATTGTACACGTAAATCTTTTAAATTTTAATATAGTGAATTCATCAATAATAGAGTTTATATCTACATCAATAGCATACTCTCTTTAAGATAAAATAGTAAACCAATTGGAGAGAAATTCATCGTTCATTTTGTTGCGCAAATGTCAACACAATCGACTAATCAATTCCTATTTTCAACAGCTGCTCAAGTAATTTCTTAAGAGAATAAACCTCATATTTCTTTTAGTCTTTTACGTTTTAGAATTTTAGGTTTCATTGTTTGCTTTTCTTTATATGAGAATTATTGGAGCTAGAATTTTCAGGCTAAATTTAGAGTTGTGATTTGAATATGTTCATCTTACCCATTTTCCTAATTACACACAATTTTATTATAAAATGACACTAGGCCAAATGGTTAAATCGATAAAATCATAAGGAATACACTAGTTCCGGATCCAGGGGAGGGCTGGGCCGGGGCCCGGGGTGGCCACCCCCTGGATCCGCCACTGCCGACGATGGAAACAGCAGCGGCGGGCGGATGGTTTCCTTCTATGGCAGCAGCGGTGACAGGAAAAGCTCGATAGGCTTTGACGAGGGCCTCCACCTTCTCGGAGTGCCTGTCGAAGGATTTTTGCAGCTCCTGAAGTGTTTGCAAGACGCAATCCAGCCAGGGTTCGTCGAGAGGTTGTTGTGTCGGGCAGCAGACTCCGAAGTGACCTCCATCAAAGGGGTCGGCAGCAGGGTACGAGGTCGTACCGTCCAGCGACATTGGCTCTGGGAACTTTGGCGGCGGTTGATAGGATGGGATCAGAAACGATTGCGTGGACTGCGGAGGGAATCGTGACTGGCAGTTGGATGAAGATCGACGGCGAACAATATTTTCAAACCGTTCTTCTTCCTCCAGAAGATCAAGAAGCTCTTGCTCTTCTAGCATGTCGCGTATAAACTGATATCTATCAGGCATAGCGACTTTCAGCAGTATTGGCGGTGTAGAGGTTGCTCACGGGACCTCTTCCCAACGTTGGTGGTTGAACGTTGGCGATGCCTGCCCTGGGAGCTGCAGCAGCGAGCTCGGTTCTCTCAAACCAGGCTCTGATACCAATTGACGCGTGACAGCCTCACGCGTCGGGAACTAGAAACACGAAAACTGAAAGAAACTGAAAATACTGGGGTTTATTCTTCTTCGATAAATAAAACGTAAGGATTAAGTACATATTTATAGGACGCATCCCATAAACCCTCTCCCCCTTAAACATGGTAACCTAAACCGAGTCCAACTCCTAAACGATTTACTTCCTAAACAGAATAATAATAATCCAAAATAACCCTAAACAAAACGAATGAATATCCAAAATAGACACATAATAATAATTATGCTAAGATAATAGACCAGCCAATGATGCGTGAATGCATCATACATCTCTTTCAATTACACTTTTTAAACCCGCCCCTGCTTCGTGATCTGGGAGGAGGGTATTGAGAAGGGGTGGGGGAACGATTTCGGAAATATGATATTTTTTTCCTGAGCTGAATTTCGACGTGGATTCAGATCTGAGAGATGGAGGAAAAGAGTGCGTTAAGTCAAGGGAGCGTCTTTAGATCTCTGCTCGCCATTGTTCAGTGGTGGTGTTTCAATGTTACCGTGATTATCATGAACAAATGGATCTTTCAGGTTCATCTCTCTCTACTTCTTCGCCCTCTTCCTGAAGTTTCTTCTTTTTGGGTTATGCCTTCGATTTTTGTTTCTAATTCTTGGTGTCCAATTCCACATATTTACCTTGATCATTGAGTCACTCTTTACTGTTCTGTATTTGTCAACTTCTCGTAATTGGGAAGTTTTATTGTATATGCATGCCTCATAATGCTGGAGCCCTTTTGCCTAATTTCCAGTTCTAGGATCGTGATTGCCCTTTGCAAGCTCTCTGCAAAGCTATACGAATTGTTTATTCTGTGCGTGAGGGCATTTCCTGACTTGCGAAATATGTTGCTCTACCTACTCTTGTATGATGCACCAGAAGGGCTAGTAGGTGGAATATTATTAACAGACAAAAATCTCAGTTACGGTGGTTGTAACTGTTTTAGTTTATGGTATATCAAATTACCTATTCATGAGTTTGGTAAATCGAAAAGGAACTAGGCTTGGCACATAATGCAGACTGTTAGTAATCGGATCTGCACTTGAGGAATATTTGTTGTACTCGTGATTTGGTTCATATCTCCTAGTAGCAGATGCCAGATGTTTGACATCTTTAAGTTCAAAGAATTAGGGGTCTATGTTTCTTAAAGTACATGATTTGCTTTACTTTATGATTTTTAATATTCGGTTATGGTTTTCATAATAATTCATAATATATAGTGTGAAAGACGCTTGGTTCTTCGAGGAATTATCTTTTTATCCTTCCGCGGACATTCCTTTTTTTGTCCTCTTATCTAGGAAAGGGGGTTTTGGATGAGATTCTGAGTTATCAACTGATCATGTTGAATCTAAGAAATGGGTTTTGTTTGACAGAAATTGAATTTCAAGTTCCCGCTATCTGTATCTTGTGTCCACTTTGTATGCTCATCCATTGGAGCATTTATCGCAATCAAGGTGCTAAAGATCAAACCTCTTATAGTGGTCGACCCTGATGATCGTTGGAAAAGAATATTCCCCATGTCATTTGTGTTCTGCATAAACATTGTGCTGGGAAATGTGAGCTTGCGATATATCCCAGTTTCATTTATGCAGACAATAAAGTCGTTTACTCCTGCAACTACAGGTTTGAACCTAAAACAATGTTTTTATCAAACTTTCTTATCAACCTATATATTGTTGTTCTTTGTACGGTTTCATGTCGGTGTGCTTACCTTTGTGCGGCTACATCAGTTGTTTTGCAGTGGTTGGTTTGGAGGAAGTACTTTGATTGGCGCATTTGGGCTTCATTGGTGCCTGTTGTTGGAGGAATACTCCTGACATCGGTGACAGAGCTTAGTTTCAATGCTTTCGGATTTTCTGCTGCCCTGCTTGGCTGCTTGGCAACTTCCACAAAGACTATCCTTGCAGAGTCCTTACTGCATGGGTACAAATTTGACAGGTACTTTCCCACATGTTTCTGAAACTATCTGGGTTTTTTTTTGAACCGCCTGGAACATGGAGTGCATTATTTAGATGTGAAATGGCATGTACTGTTCTTGAATCACCTTCAGCTGTTGCTATCTGTACTATGTCCAGGCCTGTTCTAAAAATATTGTTTTGTCGAAACCTTAAGGGGTTTGCATGTATAAATAATGGAATTTGAATGAGTAGATTGGGATCGATGATAGAGTTTAAAAATGTTGTTGTTTGGATCGTTGATTTGACAGAAGTATTTTTACAGTGTGTTCCATAATTTAGTTTATATCTACCCAACATGGGTAGAATTAAGCAATCATTACCTCCCGGAAGAGATTTGAGACATATGAGATTTGCTAGTTCACTCAATTGTGGAGAAGACAATAACTCTAAAGAAAAAGAAAAGAACTTATGTCATACCATCACTTGCTAGATAACTTGAAAAAGGAAAAAAAAAACATATGCTCATTCGTTTCTTCCTATCCTTTCTTTTTACCTGCAAGTATATGCTCAATACTGTGTGTCGTGGATGTAATTACTAATTAGTGAAGTACACACTGTGTACAGTAACCTTCTATATATTATCAAATCAAATTCTTACTTTTACTCATTTCTTTTTGGTTGTTATGTTTTTGTTAGCATAAACACGGTGTACTACATGGCTCCTTTGGCTACCATGATACTTGGTGTGCCAGCAATGCTACTAGAAGGCAATGGGGTTCTGGAATGGTTTCATACGCACGAGACTATCTACTCTTCCCTTTTTATCATATTCCTATCTGGTGTACTTGCCTTCTGCCTCAACTTTTCGATCTTCTACGTGATTCATTCAACAACAGCTGTCACCTTCAATGTTGCCGGGAACCTCAAGGTAGAAAAAGGAAAACTCGGTATCCTCCACCAGTTCTGATTTTATGCATATCATATTCATCTAGGGAGTGGATGTTTTGGAGACAAAAATGAACTTAGAAATTCAAACAAACATAGTTCTTCGATCTAACTTTCTAAAACAAACTGTTGATGCTGGACACCCCCATGAATTATTAAAATCTAAAAGTCACATCACTAGTAAAATTCCAGTTCTTTTCCCTTTGGAAAATTGGAAGTTATACCCATATAATAGTTAGTTCCCAAAGCCCGCCTAAACCTTAGAATAGTGCCCTTGATCTCTACTACTTCATGCCTGATCGATTTCACGTTCGTTATCAATGACGGGAATCATTTTTTTTTTTCTACAGGTTGCAGTTGCCGTGCTGATTTCATGGTTGATATTCAGGAACCCAATCTCAGCGATGAATGCTGTGGGATGTGCTATCACGCTCGGTGGATGTAGTTTCTATGGATATGTAAGGCATTTGTTGTCACAACAGCCAGCCCCTCAAGGAACTCTGTGGACGCCCAAGACTGCAAGAAGCCGAATGGAGTTACTGCCTCTTGTAAACGATAAATTAGATGATAAGGTCTGAATTAGTGAAATGATTCTCCTAAGGAGAGGGGAGCTTTACATGATGATGATGATGATGATGATGATGCTCTTTTGCAGTTGAGGCAACGTAGGGAGGAGTAATTTGTACTAATGTACAAGGAACTGATGAAATTCTGGAAAATTATTTAAATGTGTTGTAGTGAACTTGATTGATTAACCATACAAGTTCGATACGAGTTTACTTTTGCTTGCTCAGGAATAGGAAACGTGTTTTTCCAGCGGCCTACATGTATTATCAGTCGATTTCCAGTGTCTAGCTAGCTAGTAGTGGCAGGAGGACTAAGATCCCCAAGAGAATTGATCTTTGTTCTTGAGAATGGAAAAAGAAAGCTGGGCTAGCTTAGTTCCGCCATTTCGTATTAATCTCCATGATCTTGAAGAAAGTTAAACGTGAGAAAGACAATCTTAAGACAAGATTCCATCAATTATATAGTACCAACATTAAAAATATTTCACAAATGTGTCGTCTTTTCTAAGACATCTTGAATCTGATTGAGGCACCAAGTCTAAGATGGAAGGCGGTAATCAATATATACGAGCCAACTTGTGGGGACGTGTTGAAGAGTGTTGAAATTATATACTGAATGCACATGAAGATGTTCAGAGAAGAAGCTCATGCTCCAGAGTTCAGCGAAAAATAAAGTTGCATCGATTATAAACAGTAAAGATTCCAGTTCCCTTTATGTTCATCCTCCTCGAGCTTTCTTCAATAAGACATGGTTGCTGACTTGCTGTAGTAGTTATCACGTTAGTCTTACACACTAAAGATTCCAGTTCGATACTTGGTAGTAATATTTTTTTTCCGTTGAATCAGTCGTTTTTTATTTCTGAAAAGTAACCAATACAACGAACGCGGGATAGTCATCCCAAGTCCCCAGCATCCCCACCCTCACAACGTTTCTATACTCTGTACTACTGCAACAAGCAAAAACAGACTGTAAGCAAAGCACTATATTACTGCAGAAACAAAAACTCTATATGTATCCCAACCCCTTTAAACTATCTCGCGCCCCTCTGTTCCCATAAGTGAGGAACACTAATTCCTGCCTAATCAGAGATGCAACCTGCTTAGGAGAGCGACTTGAAGTCCCATGTACAACTCCACATCTCTCCTTCCAGATAAATGACACTAGGAGACACCACATAAGAGCCTGCCAAATGCCAGATTGTGTTTGTCGTGCTGAAGAAAGGGAATGAACCATAGAATCCCAGTTGGGATGTAGCAGCAGCCTGCACTTAACCTCAGCAGCAAGCTCCCGAGCAAACTGGCACTGAGTGAAAAGATGGTTCCTGCTCTCTACCCCTTGATCGCATAGAGGACAAGTAGCAATCCTAATTTTCCCCCATTTCTGCAGTTTGTCCCTCATGATAATGGCATTCTTCATTATTAGCCAAGCAAGAATGCTGTAACGAGGAGGACACCTACTGCTCCAAACCAGTTTAAACCACATAACTCCAGAGGCCCTATTTCTCAGTGTATCCCAGACTCTACGGATTGAATAGATAGCCATCTCCCTCGAATCCCAATAGACAACATCATTTTGTACCTGTAACTAGGGGAAAACCACAGCCCTGAGCTTGAGAATTCTTCTCCAAGCCCATGAACTACTGTACTGCTCTCTAAGAGACCACAGATCACACTGCCTACACTTGTATTCTTTCATCCATGGCACCCATATCGCCCCAGAATTCATCAAAAATAACCAGATCATTCTAATAGTGCAGGCCTGATTCCAAGCCACCAAATCTTTGACTCCAAGCCCACCTTCTCGCTTTGGGAGTGCCACTTTGTCCCAGCCTACTTTTGCCCTGCCTTCATCCAAACCATGCCAAAGAAACTAAGAGCAGACTTTCTGTATTCGCTTAAGAGCTTTCTTTGGGAAAATAAACATCTGCATCCAGAACTGCACCATACCTTGAATTACCGAGTTGAGTAATTGCAATCTCCCTGCATATGATAGCTTCTTGGCCCTCCAAGACTTGACTCTCTTGGTAATCCTGTCAACCAGACTGTCAATTTCAACCGATGATAACTTGCCAGACAATACGGGCAATCCCAGATAACGGACTGGGAGCTTCCCTTCCTGAAATCCTGATTGAGCCAAAGCATTCTGCTTGTAGAGTACAGCCTCACCACCAAAATAGATCTCACATTTAGCAGGGTTACTATTTAAACCTGAGATCTGATAAAACCTGTTTAAGATCTCTTTAACCTGCATGATAGCCTGAGCAGATCCCTTAGTAAAAATGAGCAAGTCATCTGCAAAGCAAAGGTGATTCAAAGCTACTCTCTTGCACTGCAGATGAAATGGGAGAGCCCCTGATCTGCCAGCTTCAGTTAGCATAGTAGAAAGACCCTCCATGGCTATGGTAAATAGGTAAGGCGACAGAGGGTCACCCTGCCTCACCCCTTTCCTGGCTCTAAAAAACCCACAGAGACTTCCATTTACAGTGAAACTGTAGTGTGCAGTTTGTAAGCAACTCCTAATCCATTTTAAAAAGAGAGGAGGAAACCCCATGGCACTCATCATGAGGAATAGATACTTCCAGTTCACAGAGTCAAACGCCTTCATTATATCTACCTTAACAGCACAACGAGTAGACAGCATTCGCCTATTATATCCACTAACTAGTTCCCGAGCCATTAGAATGTTGTCCATGATACTTCTTCCCTTTATAAAAGCAGATTGGGAACCACTAATTATCAATGGCATTATCTCCTTAATTCTATTTGCCAGGACCTTAGCAATGATTTTGTATATGAGATTTATACAAGAGATAGGTCTATAGTGTTTTAATGAATCAGCAGTAGGGGTTTTTGGAAGTAAAGAAACAGCAGTAGAGTTAACCCCACTAAGGAGGATACCTGCGCTAAGAAGAAGAGAATACCCCTGACCACATCTTCACCAATGATTCCCCAGGTCCTCTTGAAAAATCCTGCAGAGAACCTATCAGGGCCAGGAGCCTTCTGAGTGTTCATGCTAAAGACTATTGCCCTTATTTCATCACTAGTAATGTCCCGAATCAAACTTTCACAATCTGCCTGAGGGATTTGCCTTTGAACAAGCCTCTTCACCTCCTCTTCACTCGGATTAATATCCACATTTATCTCACCCAACAACTTCTTATAGAAGCTAATTACTTCCTCTACAATCTGTTCTGTCTGATATACTTCTTCCCCTGTGCCTTTTACAAGTTTCCTGATTGCCCGTTTAGAGTTTCGGATTTTAACATCCTGGTGGAAAAACATGTTGATTTTTTTTTTGTGCATTTTATGTTTGATATTTTTATTTAAATGTAAAATAGAAAAATGTTTCAGATCTACCCACGCAAATGCCAATCTCTGCAACAATTTTTCATTTGTTCTGAACATGTATCAATTTGTATTTTCATTTTGTGTTTTAAATTTTTTATTTATTTATAGAATAAAAAATATTTTTGAATATATCCACGCACGCAAATGCCAATCACCAGGGTTAATTGCACCGGATACTACGTAAGTACTAGTTTTGTTGCTTACTAATCACTTAAGTTTTTTTAGTTGCAATTAAACCACATAAGTCGACTTTTGGTTGCACCGTTATATTTTTCATCCTTAAACTTAACAGTGGGTATCAAATTGAAGTTTTTCACTTTAAATTACACCACACCGTTTTTCTTTCAATTTCTTCCCCCCCACAAAATATTTTTTTTTTAATTGTAGGATTGAATAAATCTGGTCACAATAGCCCTTTGAAATTCTTCTCTTGCTTTGTGGCTGCCGATTCTCTTGTAAAATTATTTATAGAGTTGGAGATGGGGGCTTCGGCTGCGAACTTGGTTGAAAAACTAAGTTCTCATAAGGTTCAAAAGTTTACTTTATTTGGAATGAAACCAAAGTTTAATTCAATTAGTCTTAAAAAATTAATAAAAAATGACACAATTGTAAATTTTGACGAAAACAATAAAGGAGGGCATAAGATAATTAAAGAGAGCGCTAGTAATACCGAAATGAAGATGAAAGAATGTGAGAGAAAATGAAATTGCGTAAATTGATGGGGCAAATTTCAATTTGATACCTACCGTTAAATTAAGGCTGGAAAATATAATGGTGCAACCGGAAATCGGCTTATGTGGTTTAGTTGCAACTAAAAAAACTTATAATTGGTTAGTATGCAACAAAACCAATACTAGCCCACATAGTGAAACTGTCACCACACGCCTCCCGCCGCTGTCACAAGGAAGACTCTAGAAGATTCTAGAAGGGTGCGAGTACATGCATTCATCTCTAGATTCATGCTCCAATGTACATGCATCCCCCTTATCTATTATGACGCATTCACCATATTTATTATGATTCATGTATGGGTATGGGGGGACTTCTAGGTTTGTTCATTTATGACGCCTACATACATTGTATCTAGTGGAGATGATGCCTATATAAGCATCTCTCTCCCTCACTTTTCATTCATCCAGAAATAGAGAGCTTTCCATCTATAGAGTTTCTCCACACTTGTGAGTTTGAGTGATTGCGAGCTAGGCTGACTTAGCTGTCTAACAAGACTTGAGTGCTAAGTGCCGCACGACCAAGAGCTGGTCCGTGACAAGTGGTATCAGAGCTAGGTCATGACTCATCAAGTGAGAAAGAACCTCGAAGAGATGGCTAGATCCGAAAGCAAAGTTCTCAACGAGGAGCAACAACGCGGTCGTGAGCAAAAGAAGGACACAACCAAGACCAAGAGAGACATATCTACTTGTGAGCCCTTGGCTGCTTTCGAGGAGAGGCTCTCGAGGGCAAATGTGAAGGTTGCGGACCACATCATCATGTTAGAAGACATGGAGACAAACATCGACTAAGTTGACACAGAGGTGTAGACCTTGAAGGGCGACGTGCAAGGTGTGGTTGCTCGAATGACGGGTTTGGAGGTGGGGTTGGAAGCTTTTCGAAATGAGTTTCTACCCATCATTACCAACGCCATCGACCCTTTGAAAGAGACGGTTCAGGCAGAGGTGACCAACATGAGGGAGGAGTTTGACAAGCTTTGAGGGGAGTTCAATCTCGTCAAGCGAGCGGTGGCTAACGGACCTTCCACGACACAATTTACCCCACAAATGGATGTTCCAAGGCCAAAGAATTTTGGTGGGTCGAAGAACGCGAGAGAATTGGAGAATTTCCTCTAGATTCTTGAACAATATTTCAAGGCTTCGGGCATCAACGACAACGAGGTCATGGTGCGCACCGCCTCACTTTACTTGGTCGATACGACCATGGTGTGGTGGAGGAGACGTCGAAAGAGGAACGTGTGAGATGAACACGTGGGACGATTTCCGTAGAGAAATCAAGAATCAATTTTATC